CCCCAAAAAAAAAAAAATCAGAACAATGCAAAATGAATAAGTATATTGTCCACCTTTGCTGTACGGTTCCTGTGGCATTATTCCGTGGTGGATATGTTTACTCCCTCGCTTTGTCTTTCCATTTGGTCTTGCCCAAGTTGTCAACTCTGGGATGCTGAGCACGGTTGATTCTAAAAGTACGAGATTGCTTACTTCTGCTATAAGTTCCACTAGCTATAAGTCTTCAAACTTTTTAAATATTCCCACCTATGTGGTTCAGAGGTTTGGAGTTCTTACCTGAACCCGCTTCGTCTGGTATTCTGTGGTACTGCTGATGGAGATCTTCACTGCACCTTTACTCTATCTGCCATCAAGCCCCACCTCTCCTATTGTGTTTAGTTTTAAGGGATCATAGGATTTCTTTTTGGCGTCCTATTATGGTGCTGTAGGATAAGCACAAGGTAGGTGGCTCCAACCCACTAGCCACTCCTTAGAAACTATACACAGGGTCACTGTGAGTCAGAATCAATTTCTCTGTACTTAAAAACAGGATTTTTTTAAAAAAGATATTTTTACCTTACATTAACCTTGAGGAGGGCAGTAATAAAAGTGAGGCAGAGAAAGGTTCTCAGTCACTGAGATTTTGACACCATTTATTTAGATTCCTTGACTACAAGCTATTATTTTTAAGTCTCATGCAGAGATTATTGTGTGCATGTGTGTGTATAGTATTTAGAGAGTTTCAGACATGACTTAATTTTGTAGTTATAAATCTGAAATATTATGAGTTTTATTTGCTCGTTAAAATTCAGTGTAGTTACAGTATGGTTTTCTTTTTCATTGGAAATCATTGTTCATTCCTAGTTTTAAAGTACGGTAATCTGTAAGGTCACTTGGTTTGCTGTCATCTTGTTGATTATATGCTCCATGACTATTCAGTTGATGGGTCTGTAACGTACACTTACTTTGCAGCTCTTGAGACTCTGCCACTATTGTAGTTAGGTGCCTTCAAATCAGTATCATCTCATAGCGACCTTATGCACAGCAGAACGAAACACTGCCAGATCCTGGGCCACCCTCACTGTTGTTGCCATGCTTGAGCCCATTGATGCTGCCACTTTGCCAATCCTTCTCATTGGGGGTCTTCCTCTTTTTCTCTGACCCTCCACCTTACCAAACATGATATCCTTCTCCAGCGACTGGTCCCTCCTGACAATATGTCTGAAGTATGAGAGACGAAATTTGACCATCCTGGTCTCCAAGGAGCACTCTGGCTGTACTCCTTCCAACACAGATCTGTTGGTTCTTTTGGCAGCGCATGGCACTTTCAATATTCTCCTCCAACACCATAACTGAAAGGCATTAATTCTTCTACAGTCTTCCTTATTTCACATTCATATGAAGTTACTGAAAATACCATGGCTTGGGTCAGGTGCACCTTAGTCTTCAAGCTGACATCTTTGTTCAACACTTTAAAAAGGTCTTGTGCAGCAGATTTGCCTGATGCAATATGTCATCTGATTTCTCGAGGACTGCGTCCATGAGTGTTGATAGTTGATCCAAGAAGAATGAAGTTCTTGACATCTTTTTTCAATATATTTTCCATTGATAAGAATGTTGTTTATGGGTCCAGTGGTGAGGATTTTTGTTTTCTTTACATTGAGATGGAATCCATACTGAAGGCTGTGCTCTTAGATCTTCATCAGTAAATATGTTAAGTCTTCTTCATTTTCAGCAAGCAAGGTTGTGTCATCTGCATATCACAGGCTGTTAATAAGTCTTCCTCCAATCCTGATGCCACATTTTTCTACATAGAACCAAGCTTCTTGGATTATTTGCTCAGCATACAGCTTTAATACGTATGGTGAAAGAATACACCTCTGCTGCACACCTTTCTTAATTTTAAACCATTCAGTGTTCCTATATTCTGTTCCAACAACTGCTTCTTGGTCCATGTACTGATTCTTCATGAGCACAATTAAGTGTTCCTGAATACTCATACTTCACAATGTTGTCTATAGCTTGTTATGATCCACACAATCAAAAGTCTTTGCAGAGTCAATAAAGCATAGGTAAACATCTTTCTGATAATTCTCTGCTTTCAGCCAAGATCCATCAGACATCATTAGTGATATCCCTCGTTCCATGGCCTCTTCTGAATCCGGCCTGCACCTTTGGAAGTTCTGTGCCAATGTATGCTTGCAGCCGTTTTTGTATTACGTTTAGTAAAACTTTACTCGCATGGGATATCAAAGATACTGTGTGATGATTTCTGCATTCCGTTGGGTCACCTCTATTTGGAATGGGCACAAATAT